AAACCAAGCCTGATGATACCTTGATCTTGGACTTCTAGCTCCCAAAACTGTGAGAAAATAAATTTCTGGAATTTAAGTCACCCATTCTTTGGGATTTTGCAATGGTAGTCCTAAAACAGTAACAAAATAAATAATGACAGAAAATAAACTGCCACATTTATAGTTTGGCTAAATGATAGCAGATAAAAATTTATTTTATCACTAATATTAATTCATTAATTTTGTTAGAAAGCAAACAGTAAATAAGTTCTAGAAAGATAACTGTACATTCTTATCATGTAAGATAGATCTACAGAGATAAGTGCATACATAGTAAATATCATAATATGAAACAAAAAGAATTGAGCATAATTTATTAAGAAATTTAACAGAAAATATGTTCAGAAATAATTAAAATCTGAATACAAATATGCCAATACTCTTCAGATTTTAGTCATCCTGAAAAAGAAAAAGGAGTCATTAGAGGAACTTTGATTTGTATAATAGTTTTAAAGACCTGCCTACAAAATGTATTTMTTGACCAATTAAGGGTAATAATTTTCTTTCAAATTCAGAAATATTAAAGTTACCTGTAAAAACAGTATCACTACACACTTTATTCATTGTCTCTTTCACKATGAGCTTCTATTCTTTTAATAGCTATTTTGTGGACTGAATATAAAGGTGAATTTCTATAAATTTGGCAGCCACATTTTGGGATAAATACTGGGAAATATAATGTTAAAATATCAGCACTATTCTGAGTTTTATAATGAATTAATTGGATAATCTAAAATAGTAATTAATGTACCCATACATTCTAAATGGGTCTCTCTGAGTTTATTTTTCAACTTATAAATATAAAAAAATTAAGAAGAGAGTACCAGAAAAGTGACTATATAAGAAACAAAAACCAGAGGCTTGATTATGCAGTATGAAATATGGCTGAAGGGACATGCTCTCAAAGAACAAGAGTTAAAGTACTCACACTGGAGTTAAGAGTAGGTAGGTCATTACCAGAAGTAATATCAAAATTACATATCAAAATTATTTTGGATATTCCACTTCATTTCTCTCAGACTCAGTTTGCTTTCTTGAAAATTAAAGGGATTAGAAATGCTTTAAAACTGATTTAATGAGTTAGTGATTGAGAGTAAACTAATTAAAAAAAGGTGTTAGCTGAATTAGAACACTTTAATTTAAAAAAGGAATCATCAAGGCTCATGTAAAGAGAACTAACAACATTCAGACTAACGAACAATATCTTCATTTAAACTGACTTAAAATATTACTTTAGTTTTTGCTACGAAATTAATCATTACCTAAATAATTATGCTCTCAGAATTGGAGAGATAAAGGGGCCTTGTGGGTATAATCATCCCCGTATTAACAAGTATGAAAAATTATCTAGTACAGAGTCTAGAACTTTRGAGGCGCCCATTAAATGGAGCTATTATATCTATTTGTTTGGGCTTAAAACTTAAGTCACTATAATTTAGAATCCTTATTTATTACTTTCTAGTATTATTTTCCCCCTCATAGCATCATGTAATCAGCTGACTCAGTAATCATTCCTTCTACATGAAAATTAGTAATAAAAGGAACATGGGCCAGATTACAAGACTATGGAATTCAACTAGAAATCTGCTTTCAACATGAAACAGATTATAATAAAACAGAGTTATTTAGTAATATTCAGAAAATTAATCATGTATTTCAAATATACCAAATGATGCTAAAATCTAGACCATATTTTATTCATAACAATATCATGAAAATTTTGATTAATTCTTTTTTTTATAAAAGYAAACAATTTAGAACTATTTTGATATTAACAAAATAAAAAGTTTTGCACAATTTCACTTTCACTTTTTATAAGATACAAAAGAACAGGTAAAAATTCATGAGCAGTTTTACTTTTTTAGTGATTTATGGAAATTGCTAACCATAGTGGTAATTTATATTTTACTAACAAAAATTAATTTTTTTTGCCTAAAAATAGGCAAAATAAATTACTATCTATGTAACTTTTCTTGTTGATGATATAATTATATTTTCATCTATGCTTTTGCTATAAAACTCAAAGGACTAAAATTTATTATCCCTTTATAGGCTGCTCTACTCAAGCTAGCAAAAGGAAGTCATCGTCAGACTCATTCACCTGATTTAGCATCAATCAGAAAACAATCTATGATTGCCAGGCCTTGGGTAGATGGGTTAGGGTATTTCACAGTTTGCTCTAGTTATCTTTCTTAAGTCTGGTCTTCTGAGGAAGGCAAACTTCTAAGCATTGTATATTATGAATGGGTAATGGATACCGAAGTGGATCCAAGATCTGATGCTAGCAAAGAACTTACTATGAACCATCTTTGTTCCAGCTTACCATGTAGACAGAGCAGGGCCATACCAGGTTATCTAATTATAAAACACATAATAGATTTATTTTTGAATTCTTGGAGCCTTAAATTATATTAACAGGTACTATAAGGGACTGTTGAAGAGGACAGTCTAGGGAGTTAGACTGCTTAGATGTAAATTCTGCTTTGTCATTTCCCAGCTGTATAACATATAGACAAATAACTTATATTTAGTTCCCTTGTTTGTAAAATAAGAAAGTAACAATAAATTGCTCCCTGAAATTACTGAGTGATTAAATGATAAATATTATTTTAAAAGGGCTGGTACAATGCCAGAAAAAATTATAATGACTAGGTACATAAAACAAAAACAAAAAACTATTTTCCTCATCTATCCACTGGCAGTGAGGAAAGAGAAGGAGCTGAATATCCAATTTGAGTTAAACTATGGAAGTGTAAATGGCATTCTGCACCACCAATGCCACACACAAAATCTCTCTCTCTGGTACCAGTGACAGTTACTTTCAAAGAACAGCCGAAAATAAGGGACAAAGCCATTCAATCAGCTACCCAAACAAGGTGGCTCTTTTTACCAATGTTCAATTTGGCATTTTTAGGTCTAATTCTTATGCTCTCCTTTATGAAGTCACTGTATAATTACTAAAACTATAAGTTAAGTGTTTGCATATTTAAGTAGAGAGAGGGGATACTTTTATGAGGTTCAGGGTACTTTTTAGCAAATATGGGACTGGGTGATGGAGAAATAGGGAGTTCAGAATGTTCAAGCATTCATAGTACTTTTGAAAACATAGTATCACAAAGAAAATTCCAGTCTTGAGACAGGGCCTCAGAATAGCTATGAATTTTCTTCCAATGTTTCCCCAATCATGTTTCAACAGCATATTTTATGCTAATTCTTATTACAAAAAAGTAGAAACAGCATTGATTCAAAAAAAAATTTGAGGTATTCAGCTTTYCTATTAAATATCAACTTATGAGATTAAAAAAAAACCTTAAAGATTCCAACTGAAAACAAATAAAATTATATAAAATTAGGGATATAGCATTTTTAGCATACCTGTTCACTAACCTAATTTTAAAATAACTTAACATGTTTCCCAAAACGTATAGTTACAGAAACTTGCATGATAAAAAGAAAACTCAAAAATAATGTGAAAAGAAACCAAGAATGCTATCAAAAAACTATTCTTCCCTTAATGTTCTCAGCTGYAACAAATTTGTTACTGAAGTCTTTCAAATAGGCAAAACTCAAATATTCCAAGTTATATGTTCTATTTAAAACACAGGAAAAAAATGGGAATCTGGTTTATATACCTAAAAAAAAAAAAGCAAATATAACCTCCAGAACTAAAAACCAGAGAAACTGAACAAATTCAATTATGCACCAAAGTTCTATTCATGTAAGATAAAATTCCTTGGTAATTTAATTCTAAAAATTGTTTAGTAAAATGTCTCTAGAAAAACCTTTTTAAATTTTTACATTATGTAATAATAAAACACCCTATAATGCATTCTTAAGATAGAATTTCCTAAAAAGGAAATCTGTTAAAAGGTATTATGCAACAGTGCTAGCACATAATTAAAGTGAATTATCTATTACCAACAGATTCATGAAAAATACGAAGAGGTAAATAATTTATCCCCCTTTGCCCAAGAATAAACCACCTTATTTAGAAAACGACCAGAGGGCTAATAGTCAGCCACCATTAATATGACTAAACAGGGTTCAATTTATAACATGCAGATAACATGGGTCTTATTTCTAAGAATTTTTGAAAATTTAAACATGTAGTAAACATTATCAGTTGAGGAAAAGCAAAGCTATTACAGCTGCCTAGAAATTTCTCTAATTTAACTAAAATCCAAAGAATATTAGTAGAGATCTTGGTGGGGGAAAATATATAATAATTGTATAATACCTTTATTTAAAATCAAAGATCAAATTTATGACCTATTTCTACAACTGTTTTTGCAGACTTTAAAACTCTCCAGAAAACATTAAAATTTTTGTGACCAAAAACCTCTAATTTTACTATGTCCCCTTAAATTTGATGGTATATTCTTTCCCCTCAGTTTAAAATTTTGAGAACTTTAGACTGAGTAATTTATTTCAAAGTATATCTACAAAAACAATCGAAAGGGGTAATGCAAATACTTTTACTTGTAGTGGGGGAAGGGTAGAGGGGAACTAGAAAATTCTCATTTAAGAGTATAGGCTAAAAGAGTCAATCTTTAGAAACAACTTCCTTGAAATTTAGGGACTTGAAAATGTGAGGGAGATAAAGGCAAAACAAAATACCAATGAAACCATGAGAAAAAACTACTTCAAAACTTAACTCGAGAGTATAAAATCATGCTAATTATGGCATAAATTGAACCCTGCTTTATTTTAAAATAAAGCAAAAATAAAAATTATCAGAATAATTCACACTGTGAAAGAAAGAACTGTAGCCCCAATTTAACTGATTTTTAATAATTATTGCCCAAATGAGTTTAGAAGACACACAGCCCAAGAGATTATTATTTTGAATAGGAATAACAATTAATATATACAAAATGCAATGTATTGGATAATTTTCTGCTGCTGGGTTAGCATTGCATATAGCAAGGATTAGAAACAAAATAGAAATTTCTATTTCCTACCTATATCACTGGCTACCATCTTGGAAAACTTTCTGCTTTTGGTCTTCACTGAAAATAATATTTTGATATAAAATGTCAAAATCTACTCAAATTAAACTAAATGAATTAAACATAAATAAAAGAAAAGACTTAAAATAAAGATACTATACCCTTTTCTATAAAATTATTCACTTTTTGTTCTTCATCTGAATTGTGTGGTGATGAAGAACCTACACAAATAAAGACAATGGAAGGAACAGGCACATAGTCACAAACACTGAGTTGCACAAGAGAAAAGCACAAATGAAAAAAACTAGCAATCTCTAAAACAAGCTTTTATGTCTGTTATCACAGAAAGAGGACATTTATACAGTTAACTAGTCTGATAATACACTATAGCAATCAGTAGTGCAAAATGTTTCATGGTGGGCTGCGTATATGTAAATATTAACTCTATAATCATTTTTCATTCAGTAACAACAATTTGGCAAAAATCTTGATTTTAGAGAATATATAAAGAAAGTATCACTTTTACAGATGTATTTTTTAATAGGCACATCTCAAATGATACCTCACCAATTAAAATTTTCACAATTTCCCCAGTTTTAAATCACTTTCCCTCTTCTGAATTCCCATAATTCTTTATCTACATATTTTTATATGATATTAATCATTTAACATCTTATATTTTAAATTTACAAACATAAGACCTTCTTCACTGAAGGGAAGTTTTAGAAACAGGCCCATATCTGACTCACTTTTGCAACCCCTTTGTCATCAATGGAGTGTTTTTCAATTAGGTATCTCTAAGTAAATATTTGCTGAATGAATGGAAAACAATTAGAGGTAAATATATACGTATCCTTCTGTGGCTTAAAATCATTCCCAGTAAAAGTTGTGAATCATAATGAATTAGGCCAAAATTTGATATCTGCCATTCCTCTTTTCCAAAACATACTTCCCTCCTTTGGTCAGGTGGCAAATATCCTTGACATTCTCTGCCCATGTAAACCTGCTAATACTGGCAGGACCCAATGACTTCTATAAGAGTCGTAAACATTATTTTTGCTAAATAGCATTTCTAAATCCTCGTATATTCCTTATAAAAAAATACCAAAAGTAACATTGAGCTCAGTGTCATTGTTAGGAACAGAAATAGGAATAGCTGTTTTTCACATACATATCATTCAGATTTAAAGCATATAATTGTCATGGTATATTACTTATATTTTAAAATAACACTGTCATTCTCTTATCTCTTATACCAAATAGCAACATAAATTTACAAACAATGTACTATTAATACTAGTTTTATTTGATACAAATCATTCACATGTAATAGCAGGATAACAACTAAATATGATAATTAAAATATTAAAATGTTTGATTTTTAAAAACATAAACMGGCAACATAGGCTTGAAATATAAATAAGACAAGCAGATTTAATTTTTTCCTTAACTAAAAATGTCTACTACTGAATGTCATAACCCTATGATAGCTTATTAAATGTTCCAAAATGGTATTCACTATATCCTACTTGAACAAATTTATTATAATTAAATACAAACATACAACAATATCTACAGCTTGTTTTTTCTATGGTACACAAAAACTTCTCAAGGCACCATTTCATATCATGGTACATGTGGCCCTTCAGTTGAAAATAACCTAACATTAAAAAAAAAAGATAATATGATTTATGTATACATACACATATACACACACACATTCCCCTGCACACATTAACATGTACACACAGGTTAATACATTTCAAAGAAAAAAAATCTATCAATACTAACGTGCTAAATGAAACAATCTGAATTCTTTGAAATAAAGAACAAATTAAGTCCATTACCTTTATTTGCTTAGGGTGTATATGTTTCTTAAGCAGAATTAACTTTCTATTTCAGAGAGACCACTGTTTGTTTTTTAAAAATGAAAAAGTAAACTATATTTTTTTACTTGTACTTTCTCATGATGTTATGAAGAGAGTTTTCATACTAATTAACTAAACACTTAAAATCACAAACCCTGATTATGGGATTTAAAAGCCTTAAAAATATCTTTCTTCATTTATATGATTTAATTTTAAGTAAACCCATTGTTTTTGATAAAATGCACTATGGCTACTCTACATTTCCACCATACTCGTCCTTCTCTAAGTATTTATGAAAGACTTATTTTAACTTACAAACCTTTTATACATTTCTTCCTTTTCTATAAATACTTTAAAATTAATATTGGTTTTGACAATTTATAAAACATTCATTTATATCTTATCTCACTGTGAAAAGTATTTGAGGCTGGTAATTTAATTTCTAATTTTCAGCTCAGTATTTTTTTTCCCCCTTTTCAGTATGAGGGATTGAGCCCAGGGAATTTTTACCACTGAGCCACATCCCAGCCCTTTTAAGTTTTTTTTTTTTTCCTAGAGACAGAATCTCATTAAGTTGCTGAGGCTAGCCCTGAACTTGGGATCCTCCTGCCTCAGCCTCCCAATTTGCTGACCATGCCCAGCTTAATTTTCATGTTTCTAATACCAAGACATTCTAGTAGCTCTTTTGATTGACCTCAGGGGCCAGTAGAGAAAGTCTGTAAGAAGGGATAATATAGTGTCAAAAAAATGGCTTGGCAGAATCTCATTCTAGTTTCTATTGTATTGATTAGAATTCTTTAACTGATATCTGAAACATGTTTCAGGCCCAATTACTGCCGATGAAAGGTTAACTTTTTGAAAACCAATCTTTCCTTATATGTAGGAATGAATATAATCCATTTTTATATATTTTAGAACACAACCAAAGATTAAAATAAATAAATTAAGGCTTCTATTACTTATCAATGATTTTTTAAGGTTGCATTTCAAACTACACAATACTTAAATATTTAAGGTCATATGAATTTCTACATGTTAAAATTATAGTCTTTTCACATGGACCAAACCATGTTTGAATTTCTCTGGTTAGAGGAAAAGAGAAGTTAGAGATTTTTTACTTTTATGCACTTTTTACATTTATATACTTAAATTTCCTTACACATTAATCTATAATTATTCCTTGTTTGGTTATTCTAGACTGCTAGATGTACCTACTGTTTGAAAGTATGGCTTAGGACAAAAAGGAATATTAATTTATTTGAGCTGAATTTTGGCAACACAATTTTGATGATTGTTTAATATATTTAAATGTAACACATTATTTATATGTTACATATCCAAATTATCTACTTTTGATTTATATTTTTAATATTGTGACAATGGTATTTACACAGGCTTTGGAGAACGTGAGAAAATTAGAACTATGCTGCATGTAGTTGAATGAAGAAGAGTAGTGATGAAAATATTATACTTCTAATTTCCAAATTAAAAAAAAAAACTCTATGAGATAGAAACAATTACCCACTTCATAGTATTCATCTTAACTTTATTCTACTAAGGTTAAGACTTAATATTGGGTACCAATGTGATTCCTATGGATGTATATGTTTTATCAGTTTAATGAGTAAATATAAATACACAGTTTAAGGAATAAAAATGTATGACACATTTTAATTTTAAAAAATAAAAGATCAACTTGTGCAAAATCAGGAAAATGCAATTATAAAAATGAAATATTATAAAAGTTTTTACAGTCTTAGATCTAATAAAGGGCTAAACTGAAATGTGAGGGAGTAAAGTAAGATATCCTTCTCAATATTTCCCATTCTTACAATTATATCCAATGTAATAGAACCAGTTACAGAAGGATAAAAACTTGTCTGAAAACAGTTACTTATATTAAGATCAATCTTTCCAGTAGAACACCAATGAAAATTTCCACCCAGAATACTTAAATAACTGAGCAGTTAAAATTAAGAAGTCAACTTTATCAAAGATTAGCAGTTTCAATACACTAAAATAAAATAACAAATTCAAGATATCTTTAATCTTAAGGGACCTCAAAATATACTAAAAATAATGTTCCTTAGAAATATTAATATATACAAACGTCACATAAAGACCCATTTGTAGATAAGAAATGTGAACTGCTTTAATAAAACTGTAAATAGATCAGAAGTTATGTTGGTCAAAAACAAAATCAAATCTAGTTTACAATTATTCTAATCATTCACAGTCATCACTAATTGTAAGTATCAAAAGTCTTTGATAATATTTAGGAATGGGCATGTAGCTCAATGACAGAGTGCTTGTCTAGCATGTATAAGACCTTGGGTTTGATCCTCAGCACTGCAAAAACAAGAAAAACAAAAAGCAAAACACCCACACCCAATAACAACAACAAAAATAACAACACTTTTCATTACATTTAAAAGGATATTACTCAAGGAATCCAGAGAAGCATATTACATTATTAATTTTTCATTGATCATACTCTGTTCTTCAAAATAATGCCAAAAGTGCCTAGAGGCACCAAAAATCAATCAATCTATCTATCTATCTTATCTTTCTCTAAAAGTATAATAGTATAATAGAAGGTAAAAACTATGGATATTATATGGTAGTATTTGTATTTCTTTTTACTTAATCCAATACATGACTAGTATCTTTTAGGTATATTTTAAAATATTTATCTATAAAACAATATACTGATATATTGTCTTACTTTATATAARATCATAATTATTAATACAATAAAAAGACAAATTACCAGAAGTTGGAGATTTGCAGCGATCCTCTGGGACTACAATCCCTTCATTAATATCACATAGACCTGCTAAAAAAAAGAAATCAYACCACAAATTTATTTAAGTAGGCTTGTCATCTATTTATAGGATAGATTTCACTATCTATTGAAAAGAACTTGGTAGTACAATTAACAGATTATCAGTAGTGATACTATGCTTATAAAGTTTCAAATAGAAACATTTTGATATAACTTATCTCAAAATAATATAATAGCCTTCAATTAAACAAATAAAAATATAGTTTTTTTTTTTGTAAACAGAGTTTCTAATTGAGATAATCTGATATTCTTAAAGGACAATAGACATAATGCAAGGCTTTCTTTAAAATCTGAGATGTGGGAGCATATAATTCTTTTTTAATTCCTCAAGGGAGAATATATACATATCAAATAAGTTTGATAATTTTTACATCGTAAGGACCCTCAAACCTAAATATGGTTTCCACTAGGTATGTCTTAAACACTTTATTTAAATATTTCTGAATGATAAATAAGAAAATATATCTCTAAATTTGCTATATTAAAAATATTGCACATCATTTATCCTGAAGAGAAAAMTCTCTTAAAAATGGTAATATCAGCTTTTAAAAACCTTTAACAAAATACTTTCTTTTCAGATATATATAAACTTTACCAGTCATCTATTTTATAGAATGGCTTAAATTCTTAGTAGAAAGATTAGCAAGGTATTTTATGCTATAGACAAGAACTATTCTGTACCATTAGTCTACCGGTCTATTTTGGTACCAATACCATACCATTTTTGTTACTATTGCTCTGTAGTATAGTTTAAGGTCTAGTATACTCATGCTACCTGCTTCACTCTTCCTGCTAAAGTTTGCTTTAGCTATTCTAGGTCTCTTGGTTTTCCAGATGAATTTCATGATTGCTTTTTCTATTTCTATGAGAAATGTGATTGGGATTTTGATCAGAATTGCATTAAATCTGTATAGTACTTTTGGAAGTATGGTCATTATGATTATATTAATTCTGCCTATCCAAGAGCAAGGTAGATCTTTCCATCTTCTAAGGTCTCTTTGATTTCTTTATTTTAGGGTTCTGTAATTTCCATTATATAGATTTTCACCTCTTTCATTAAGTGGATTCCCAAGTATTTTTTGTTGAGGCTACTGTAAATGAAAAAATGTTAATCATCACTAGCAATTAGAGAAATGCAAATCAAAACTACTTTAAGATTTCATTTTACTCCAGTCAGAACAGCAGGTATTATGAAGACAACAATAAGTGTTGGTGAGGATGTGTGGAAAAAGGTACACTCATACACTGCTGGTGGGACTRMAAATCGGTGCAACCAATATGGAAAGCAGTATGCAGATTCTTGGAAATTGGATATGGAACCACCATTTGACCCAGCTATCTTTCTTGGTCTATACCCAAAGGATTAAAAACAGGGACACAGCCACATCAATGATTATAGCAGCACAATTCACAATAGCTAAACTGTGGAACCATCCTAGATGCCCTTCAATAGATGAATGGATAACAAAAATGTGGAATAAATACACAATGGAATATTACTCGGCAATAAAAGAAAATAAAATCATGGCATTTGCAGGTAAATGAATGGAGTTAGTGAAGATAATGCTAAGTGAAGTTAGCCAAACCAAAAAAACCAAATGCCAAATGTTTTCTCTGATATAAGGATGCTGATTCATAGTGGGGTAGGGAGAGGGAGCATGGGAAGAATAGACAAACTCTAGATAGGGCAGAGGGGTTAAACGGGAAGAGAGGGGGGTAGGGGGTTAGAAATGCTGGTGGAATGTGATGCACATTATTATCCAAAGTACATGTATGAAGACACGAATTGGTGTGAATATACTTTGTATATAACCAGRGATATGAAAAACTGTGCTCTATATGTATAATAAGAATTGTAATGCATTCCACTGTCATATATAAATAAAAATAATAATAAAAAAGATAACAACTAAAAGGTATGGTAAAATACAAGATAAAAAAGAAGTATGAACTTGTCTTATGACTGAAATGAAAAAAAATTCCAGCAAATCATTTAATCACTTATATATGAAAACATATCAGGAGTTTGGAGGAGCTGGGCAAGAGAAAAGGGGCTTCGTTAGGCCACAGAAGTTGGGGGTCACATCAACCCATGGATATGTATAACTCGTATCTTTTACATTACTTTGGTAAAAGACATGATGTTATAATCTCTATAGTCTCTTAAAAAATGTTTAGGGCAACATTTTCATAGAATACCAAGTTCTGAATTGGGTTTATAACAAGTGTTTTCCAGTCTGAATTATATATTATTTGTTTTCATTAGGTATCTAAATACAAACTAAATGCTAGTTGGCCTCCCACAACATGTAATAGATTTCACTTAATATTTTTTAAAATAGTTTGCTTATCTAATCTTTTTTTTGAAAGAACACTTAAGATAGCAGGTMTCTAAACGGTAGTGATAATATACTCTGTAGTGATTACAATGTACCTAGGAATTAATATTCAAAAATAATACACAGAGAATTTTTGTCAATAATATACTAAATGTACTATATAAATCATATGAAATACTACAAAATGTACCATATGATATGGTTATCATTCTTAAAATCATCCAAAAAGAAACATTTAGGAAGCTGTATTTAATGGTCAATGTAATAAATAAAGGAATTTTTAATCTGAGGTAACCAGATAAAACTCAGACTTAATTTAAATATAAAATGTATTACAATGACCATTAAATCAGTTAAAAACCCCATTCAATGCCTTCTGTCTCACTAAGAATAAAAGTCAAAGTCCAACTGTATATGGCCGGTTTATGTGTACAATCCCATGGTGTATGATATTCTCTCATTTCTCTGATGTTATTTTCTGTCTCCCTTCACCTACTTTCCCATCACTCTTACTCTCTCTACTTCTACATACCAAGTCCACATTGTCCTTTGAATTCCACATATATACAACTTCAGAGCAATTTCTATTTGCTGTACATTTTAAATCTTCATTCCAAAGTTACCCAGTAACTCATCTTAAATTTAATACCCTCATCTATTTCAAATCTCCATTCATTTATTTATTTTCCCCTTGGCATTATTATGTAACCTACTACATACTACTTACCTTCTTATTGCCTGCATTTTTCTCTAGGATGTGAGTTCCTCGAGGACAGAGGATTTTGTCTGTTTTATTTTCTATAATGGTGCATGGTATGTGGTAGGTACTCAAATGTCATTAAATAATTGAGTGAATACATGTAAAAGAATTTCACAGTATATAATTTAAATCAACTATTCTGTTACTGACAGGATGCTTTTAACAAACATTCCTACTAGTAGTTTTCAAAATGTACAGCAAATGTACAGCAGCCCCCTTAGCTAGCTGTTCATATCCAGCACTGGCTGATCGCTTACTACATGGCAGATTCTTTTCTAAGTTCTTAACTCATTTAACCCTTCCAGAAATCAATAAGGAAGAGTATATTACCCTCATTTTACATAAGAAAAAGCTGAAGCACTGAGTGTTTAAGGTATCTAACACAGGGATGAAAACTTAGATAGATACCTAAGACTCGGAGTATTAATTTTAAATATTCTATAGTCTCACTTTAGTGTATTCAGTAGTTTTGTCACATTGGCACATATTAAGTTGTATTCAGTAGATGTAAAACAACCACTTGAGCGTGAACAATGTTACAGTCACAAGATTAGATACATGACCTATTCCACTTCATTATATTAAATTTATAAGACAGTGATTCATCTCTATTTTACAACTGAGGACACAGAGCCTCAGAAGTATCTTTTCTAGTATCTTACACTTAAAACAAGGACTCAGATTTAGATTCAGCTTTGCCTAACTAAACTAAAAAAATCTTCCACTATTTTTCACAAAAGAGCTAGTTTTCAGCTAGTTTTCTCTGTTCTGTACATATACAGTCAATTTTAATATATTACACAATGTTATTAACATTTATTTACTGATAAATTTCATTTCTTTGGTTTAAGTTTACTGTTTCTACCTATAAATAACTTTTTTAATCCATTCTGCCATCAAATTCAAGAGTTACCCTTTAAATAGTAGTAAGCACATCTCTTTCAAATGTTTAGATAGGAAGCTTGACTTACTATTTATAAAATTCAATTATCAAGTATTATTCAACATAATGTATTTATTATCTGAGACGGACAGACAGACACATACACACACACACACACACACACACACACACACAACAAAGTTAATGTTAGACCACAAACTGACCCAGTAGATAACCATTATTTAACCTGAGGGTGATGGCAAGCATTTTCTATAAACGTGCAGACAGTAAATAGTTTAGGCTTTTCAATCTAAAATCTCTATTGAAACTACTCAACTCTAATGCTGTAGCCCAAATAGCCACAGATAACACATAAATTAACATGGCTCTGTTCCAATAAAACTATATTTAAAATCTCAGGCAGTGTGTCAGATTTGTCCTGCAGATAGTATTTTGCTGACTCATGGTATAATCAGTCTTGGAATTGTGTACAAGGTATTTACCACCTGTTTGATTCATAAAAGTATCACAGAATTTCTTATCAAATACTTAATTAACTTCAGGAACTATTATGTCGACAAGCTGCCATAGCCATTAATGTAATTTACCAGATTAAAAAAAAAAGTGATTTTGCTACAACTTACTTTTAGTGAATGTCTACTGATTTTTATTGATCACCTCTACTTTTTATATGTATACAAGGTGTCAGTTACATAGCAGCTTATGCTAGCATTCTGATATATTTGTAAATCAAATTAACTGATTTATAAAAATATACACAGTTGAGGGTATCTTTCAAATTCATGATTTTCCTTGATATCCTTTTATTATTGCTTAATCTGTCTTACTTACATAGGCTTTAATTTCTGTTAGTGTTCATATTTTCCAAAAAGTATAATTAATTTTAGCAGGGAGCTGTGAAACAAAGTTATTTAGTTCAACCTTTTGTTTTWTTAAGTTTACTTCAGTTTTTATTTATCATTTTATTTGTTCTTTTTAGATCATCCCTAAATCATAGTTCTAATCTTTCCATCCATCACCATGTTTTTATGTGAACAATGCTTTGTTATATTTCCCATTATTTGGAAATCAGTCTTATAATTTGAGACAAAACTTACTAATCTGTGCAATATTTTATACATTATTGGATGTGTCCCTTATTTCATGTATACATACACACAACAGTAGTCCCTCTTTACCCACTGTCTAGGGTATCAGTTACTTGTGGTCAATTGCAATCKGAAAAATTACATGAAAAATTCTAAAAATAACTCATAAATTTTAAAAGAGGTGCTGTTATGAGGAGCATAATGAAATATTACACTGTCCTGCCCAGATTTTTGTGAATCATTWTGCCAGAATAATATATATGCTATCTGCTAGTCAGTCACTTCACAGCTCTCTCTGCTATCATATTTGCTACCTCAGTATCACTGTACTTGTGGCCAAATAATTTGCAAGAATAGTGATTCCAATTTGCCAAAGAAAAGCCACAAAGTGTTTATTTTAAGTATATATTATCACAAGAAAAAGGATGAGAAAATACAATAAGGTATTTTGAACGAAAGCATACACACATAACTTAATCCAGTATATTGTTAGAGTCATTTCTTTAAGTATTAGTTGTTGATAATCTCTTTCCATGCCTAATTTCTAAATTGAACTTCATCACAGGTGAACAATCCATGGTTTGAGGTATCCTTCAGGGATTTTGGAATGTGTCATTGGCAGATAAGTGGGACCACTGTGTATTTTTTCATTCTCCCTCTCATACAAACACACACACACACACACACACACACACACACACACACAGAGAGAGAGAGAGAGAGAGAGAGAGAGAGAGAGAGAATTTTCAAGCAGTAGTACTGGGCACTATAGCTATTTCTCCTATTCTATCTTACTAAAAATACTGAAGTCTTGAAAATAATTTCAACTGTAACAAAAACAAAACAACAAAAAACCCTTTAGTTTTAGAGCCTTCTACCTACAGATTTTGAAAAAATTCTTTGCAAAATACAGATACAGATTTTTGTTTCTAAGATAACTGACTTCAGAGAGTAAGACCAAACACTTCTCCCCAAGTGTCTATTACTTCCACATTATTAAACAGATTTGATTTGGACTAAAGAAACATATTCAGAAGAAAAATTTCCCTAGTGTCCTTCAGTTTCTGAATGGTAAATGAGCAATTAAAGAAGACAAATATAAACCTATTTTCCAGTTTTAGTAGAATCAGAATTTTAGCAGACATACGAGTAACTGAAATATATAAATTGTTCCTATGTCTATTTTATAATTTCTACCATGAAAACACAGTTGATATTTTAGTCAGTAGTTCAACTGTATTGTATTATAGCTATAACACATTCAAACTTAAGTAGTAATGTTTTGTCTTATAAAATAAATTCACTGACACTAGATTCCTAATGAAAATACAGCAGTACATATTAGCAACAAAAAGTGTCTTCACCCAGATCTATTAAAAATAGATTGAAGGGTAGCTGTGGTGGCACATGCTTGTAATCCTAACTACCTGGAAGAGTGAGCCAGAAGATTGCAAGTTAAAGGCCAGCCTCTGCAAATAATAAGAGATTCTGTTTTAAAATAAAATTTAAAAAATTATAAGGGTTGGGGATGGGTTCAGTGGTAAAGTGTCCCTGGGTTCAATCCCAGTGCCAAAAATAAATAAATAAATAAATAAATAAATAAATAACTGACTATCACAAAATTAAAAAAAATAGATTGAAAAACAATTTGATACCACTTTGGCTAAACCTCAAGAAATATTAAGCTACATTTAATAAGAATGTTATTTTTTAAATATCAGTGCAAAGAATATTAGTACAAATTACTCTATAGTTAACTTTATTTGAAAAATAAATAAAAACCTTTTGGAATTAGGGGTACAAATATCTTATAATGTTATTAAATCATATTTTGAAATAATTCTTTAAATCTTTATTGAAAAAAACCCTAATTATTGATAAAATGGGGTATAATAAAAATGGGTAAATGTCTTAAAATTAATCAGGAAAAACTCAAATAGTTTTCCTATTCCTAACACCAAATTGAATATGAAATAAAGTAAATAATAAGTAATATTATGGAGTTTACTAGAGAATAAAGCAGAATGTAGTGAAATTTAACAATATTTAATTGCAGGGTGAAAGTGTTATTCTTAAAAATCAACTTAGGGTTAATTATCAGTAATTTTATCTAAACTACTATAGGGTCTAAAGAACAAAAGAAATTAATTTTAGGACTAGTAAAATTTTTATCTGAGGTTTATAAAGAATCATAATTTATAAATTAAAGAATTATAATTTATAAATTAAAGTTTTTATCTTCCAGAAAAACTTCTGTGATGGTAATGTTCTAACCTTGTAACATTTAATATTATTTTCTCTGCTTTGTCCATTGGATTTAAACATAGCATTTAAATAGCTGTTTTCATATATATTTTATTGAAGTGAACTAAGTAATAATACAGTGCTTTTGATAAAAAATGTTTTAAGAGACTCTTAAAAAAAATGAATTTAAAACAAACAAACAACGATTTTAYAAAGAACAGACATGCCAAGACAAATAACTTACTTAAAAAAGAAGAACGGAGCTTTTTCACAGACTCAGAATATAAGCTAGAAACACCGCACATGCAAGAAGTCACAATCAGCATACCTTAATGAAGCAAGAAAAAAGGGAAGGGGAAAAAAAAAGGAGACAGAGATACTAGAATGGCATGGTTTAAACAGCAATCTCTGCTGAAGATTGTACATGACAAAATGATTGCACTCAGAAACGTGGAATAAAAAAAAAAAAMCACAAAACTTAAAAAGAGAAATTAACCATCAAGCTAAAATGATAGAAAGTCTATATCCCTCACCGATGCCCCTTTTTTATACACAGTAAAATTGGCAGTTTTAGTTGAATCATGTAATGAGAACAACTAAAAAAAAAAAATCAGGGAGAGCTTTATCTATTATTTTATTTTTAAATTTTTATGTTGATGGAGATTAAGCTTAGGCAAGTGTTCTACCTGGAGTTATACCACTAGCTCAGGGAGAATTTGAATTCAGGATTGAGTTAGGAAGTAAAGACCAGAGTTTCTCAAATTGTACTCCAGTGCATAGAGGTATTCTGCAAATGAGTAAACATGCCTCAAAAAGAATTCTTCTCAATCCCTGGTCTTGTAGACAGGCCTAGAATAATCTGAAGCCTACAGGCCAATTATTGCTGAAAGTCTCAATAGTATATCCTGTGTACCATATATTGAATGCCATTTACTGTGTGTTATGAAGTTAAAAAAGGCAAGAAGTACTGAATAGTTAACTATACATATGTTCTATGAGACATTAGTGTCAAAAATCTACAAAGCACAAAAGAATGCTATAAAGAATTCTAAACAAATCTGGACTTGTACTAAATCAAAATTATTTGAGAATTTTCTGTTTTTTAGAATCCAAATCACTTTTAAATCCATCTATTTTTTTTCACATGAAAAGGATTCCTTTCAATTAAATAAGTAAAACAATAAATTACTACTCAAACAGAGACCAAACAACAAAAGGGACAAAATTTCAAAATTAATTTTTTTCCTACAATAATGAGACAGATATTTCTGTTATTATAATCTAGCGGAAGAAGTCGGTAATTCTTTTGCAACATTAAATAAAATAAATAAAAAAATAAAATCCTAGCACATTAAAAGCAAAAGCAAAACCTAATGACAATACAAAACCAAAGTAGCACTGATGCCTTTCGTCTTTTTATACAGATAATCTAAATCAGATAAACTACATACCTCAGAGAAGTGGTTCTATTTACAAAACTAAGCCAACATTTATACAAATCCTAAAGCTAGGACTTTTTTCTTTTCTTTTTACCTCCTGAAGGTTGTCGAGATTTACGAGGAGATCGAGGTTCTCTCCGATAAGGATCATTAGAGCCATATAATTCTATGGTGCCCAGATTGAGCAGTACTGCTTTCTGGAGGTAGTCAATCATAGCAATGCCATTACAGTTGCCAAAAACCACCCTGGAAATAGAAAAAGAGTAAACACTTTAGCACAAAAAAATTACTTACAATAAAACGTACTGTCGTCTATAAGGTTGAAGAAGGAAGAATAATGGGTCTTTCAGAAAATTCTTCTTTGAAACAAAAGAAAGCTGTGGATATAGAAATACAGGTTACATGTGCCTTCTCTTGAAAATTGTTCATATCTTCTGTAGACATTCATCATCCAATATMATTAGATCAATTATCAATATCATTTATGAAAAATATTTGGCACAAGAGTTGAAATTTATTCAGAGATACAAACTTCCCATATGAGGCAATATTAACACCTATTTTTTTTTTGCCTTGAGAGTATTCTGAAGCCCTTGGAGGAGACATCTCCTTCTCCTAGGAAAGCAGGGGACTTCACAGTGGGTAAAAAGTTTTGGTAATTCTCTGTAGTCAAGAATAAAAAACAGATAGCATTAAGTCTTATAAGACTCCCTCTCAGGGTGTTCAAAATGCTTTCTCAATTATGTCAATAACTACAAACCAATCAACTATGAATAAAGGATCACTATTTTTTTAAAGATATCTTAAGTCAGAAGTTGAAAGCTGTCATGTATAGAAGAGTTACATAAGTAGCATAAGAGGATGGGTAAATCCATGGTGACTGATGACTATATGATGCACCTAAAGAAGAAAAACTCCAACTTGAGTCAATTGACTAATGTTGTGCGTGAGTGTACACAGTGGCCAGATAATTAGACTTCTCAGTTGAAGTTTTAAATATGGATTTACAAATTATACAGGCTTGGCAACTAATTCAAAATTTAAAAATACACAGAAAGTGCCAAACAAAACATAACTATTAGTGCAGGGAGATGTGTAATCAATCGATTTGCAACTTCCTTTGAAACTTGCTATTCTTTTTTTATTCCTTGTTTTTTCACTCTTTGGTTGTGGGCAATAAAGATTTAAAAGAAGGAGGTTTGTGCTCTTACATTTATGACAACAAATTCAAGATACCACAGAATACTATCTTAGACTATAGCTAATTTAGCTGAATGTACAATTATAAGAAATAGAAAAGATGGTGGTGGCTACTAAGATCAAAAAAGATGAATGAGTCCCTAGGGTAACACATAGGAAAAAGACAGTAACCTGCATGTGATAAACAGTTCTGGGACTGAATAGTTAGTTACAAGTTTCTTATACTACAGTGTTTTGAAACAAATGAAAAAAACATATGCTTTATAAACCTATCATATTGTAAATAAAAATTACATATAATAATTCACACTAATTAATACTTGAAAGCATGAAATGGTAAATAAAACAAACACGTGTAGTATAGATGAACAATTTACTAAGCTATTCCAATGCCTTTCGAATTCATGAAGCTTAATTTTGGAAGTAGAAGCAGCAAATGACATAGCTATGGTTGATATTTATAAAATCAGTTTATAACATAATTTTGTCAGTTCATAAAATTATTATTTTTAGGAGCATATATAGGAGATGATTTATTGACCTTAAAGCTGTATCTCAAATAATTCATTGGTCCATGAGATATTTACTTTATATAGGAAGCAGAGTATATATACCCAGGGTAAATTATCCAGAACAAAATTATGTTCCAAATAAACATTGAGCTTAGTTTGAAATTAAAGTTATATAACAACATTTTAAGTGACAATAAAATAAAGATAGCCCTTTCTATTTTAAAAAATAAAATGGTGTATGGAATACTATGGAAAGACTGAGAAAAGCATATCTTATACTTACAGTCCATAGGAAGAATTGACTGCCAGGCTGGTTATTTGTTGTGGTGGTTCTCCACCCACCCATACCAACTGAATAACTAGTTCTGTCTGATAACCTGGTGATTGTTTAAGTGGTGAGTTTTTAACTCTGGAAAAAAAGGGAAAACATATTACCTATTAAGCACATTTTCAATTAACTTACTACCCTACATAATTCTAAAGCCATATATAAATAGTCATACAAAAACAACTACATATGAAACTATACTAATTTTTAAATGTAAAAATGAGAGTCCTGTCCTCTAGGAGCATTTAATCCAGTTGGAGAGACTAAACATGTACATAAATAACAACAATTAGAAATTATATGTAAACTCCACACATAAAGTTAGGGAGGATGGCAGGGATCAAAGCGAAAGAGAGAAAAGGAGGGGGAGGCAGGAAAGAGAGGGAGGGAGAGAAGAGTTTCAGGGAAGGGTGGGGACATGGATGAGGAGAAGCAGCAATGCAGAACTTAATAGGGAAAAACTACAAATTCAAAAGGTCGACTTAAAACTTAAATGTTTTCCCTAAATGAAAACTGGCAAAAACATATAAGAACAAGTTAAAAGCAAATGTGATCTATTTATTTGTGTGAATATTTTTACTACAAAAAAAAAAACMAAATTCTTTGACTGTGAGGTGATAGTACTTTCTGATTGCACAGACTTTGCTGATTAGTGCTAATATTACTCTTGCAAAGCATATGCCTACAAGATAAAGAACTACAAAACTCATATTTAAAGATTAATAAGTGTAAATTTGGTTACACTGGTAGATGTGTGCAGTAATTTAGAAAACAGTACTGTAAGAGAGATAAGGGTTAGACTTCAGAGGGTCGTAAGTGTTACCACTTTGATGGTTTGATGTTGTTGAAAAGTTTTGAGTCCTGGCTCTTAAACTTATCAGCTGCTTCTCATCTAGAAAGTGCAAAGAGTACTACATAATCATGGTCTAAAGAAACTGAGTGCTTATAAAAGCATTTTGTAGAAGGTCAAATTACATAAAGTATTTTCATTACTAAAAAGTTAAAAGCCAATGTTAGCTTATAAAAATATTTCAGGAAGATTAAACTGTTAGACATATGCACGGTGGAGTGGAACAGGGATATTAATTAGGAAACTGATTTTTCTGATGTGAAACAATTCTAAAAAAGATAGCTGAAATACACTTTTAAATAAGAACAAGGTTTTTAAGTTTCAGGAAGACAGAAAACTTGCAGCTATTTTTAATACTCTGGTACAAAGGAAGTATTTAATATTTACTGAACACATGAATGAACTGAAGACTGATTAGAGGTAGGGCAAAAGAGGAAAAGAAGTCAATGATTCTATGATCAAATATAAATAAATACAGATATCAAGATGAAGAGGTAGTTTTAGGGTACTATGGAGTTTTAAGTTTGAGGTGAAGGTAGGAACCTACAAGTGAAACATTCAGCAGGCCACTAAATGTATTCCCAAATCTCACCAATAATAAGTTCATGTTAAACTTATGTTGGTTAAACTTTTGTGATAAGCATCTGAAGAAAAGGTTGTTAAGAACATGAGACTTTTTGAGGACTAAATATTTTGACACAACACCTGTCATACCTGTATCAGCAAACTTCAGGTGGAATTGAAAAACATACTTTGAAACCTCATCTTCTGATGACGTTTATTAGCTAAGGTAGGCTGTCCAGACTTCAGGGAAAATGTGAATTGTTGATGCTACTCTAAGATGAATTGAGCTACAGTCACTTTTTGTTGTGCAAGGTTTGCTAGCAATGCAGTCAGAACTATACTCTGGTTTATATGGAATTTCTAATTCTTTTCAGAGAAATACCCACTGATTAGCTACAGCTGTTGCTCTTAAGTGAGAAGTAATAACTGAGGCATTTCCTTTCTACTCAGAGACAGCTTTGATATAGCCACAGACTCAGAGTTGGAGTGGGCTGTTTTTTCCTTAAATGAACTAGAATAGAAGATAAACTTGAAAAGTGCTTCCATTCCAGCAGATAAACTGCACATGTCAGATTAGGTTCTCATGAGCAGAAACAGGCCTTCTAGGATTAATTTTTGAAATGCATGTAAAGGCACATTTAAGACTTTTAAGTGATCAGGACACATAACTCACAGAATTTTCATTTTAGTTAAGAGAAACAAAAAGTTCTTTAAAAAAAAAAGAATTCAAAACTAATGCAAAATCCTCCCCCCATTAGAAATGTCATAATATATTTTTAAAATAGAAAATTGATTTTTATATTTGATGTCTACGATGGTGCACAGGCGAGTTATCATTTTAACATTATTAGTATATTTGTTTACTTGTAAAAGACAAGCTGTTGAATCTTTATTTAAAAATCCTCTATTATTTGTACAAATATATTTTAAATGTTAAAATGGTGTTGAGATCTCACAGTTTCAAAATGCTCTTTGTAAAATGACACATAAAATACCTAAATGAAAACATAAAATACCTAAATACAAACTAAATGTTATTGGCAAAAGTAACAAATGACGACTTTTAAAATGTTGAAGAACAAAACCATGTCATTTGCAGGAAAATGGATGGAACTGGAGATCACAATGCTAACTGAAATAAGCCAGACTCAAGGCAATTTTTTTTTTATTCTTCCCCTCATATTTGGAATCTAAAGGAAAAAATAGATAACATCAACGTATCAGGGAAGCTAGTATAACCAGAAAGGTGATCAGAGGGAGGAGACGGCAATGAGAGGTAAATATGATCAAAGAATGTTATTTGCATTTATGAAAACAATGTAACAAAAACCATTATTCAGKATGATTAAGAATATACTAATAAAAATGTTTCCTAAAAACTACCAATTATGTATAAAGGCATTTTATATAAGATCTCAGTATTATATTTTATATATATATATATATTTGTGAGAGGGTACTGGGATTGAACTTAGGGGCACTCAACCACCGAGCCACATCTCTAGCCCAATTTTGTATTTTATTTAGAGATAGGGTCTCACTAAGTTGCTTAGTACATTGCTGTTGCGGAGGCTGGCTTTGAACTCGAGATCCTCTTGCCTTAGCCTCCGGAGCTGGTGGGATTACAGATATGTGCCATTGTACCTGGCAATATTTTAACAACAATTTTTGTTATATTTCTAACTTCTGGAAATATAACAAACAAGTGCTGAGGTGGTGTTGTGAAGACTCAGACACAAACTTGAAAGAAGCTCTCTCCAGCCAGCTGTGACGAAGTCACAGGAAGTTAACCAAATTCAGTAAGTTAAAACAAACTGTCCATTAAAAAGCACTAAGAGTCCATAATCATATTCAAAAGGAGAATCCAGAATGCCTCTAGGACTGCAGATTAAAACGATATAAAGTTAATGAATACCTGAATTATTATCCAGTCTGGGAAATAATTTTTAAAAAATACATAGAGTTATGCAGTCCAAATGTTTATGATGTTCCCATACATTCTTACTCTGAAGTTCTAGTGAAAATTCAAAATAAGGGACTTAAACAACCTAACTATATAAGCACAGTCATTACTTTATGATGTGCTTCATTTTGATGTATTTAAATTGCTGTTTTAAAAATTCAGGTTATTAGAATATTAAGTATTATAATTAAAATTGATGGCTTGATATATAAATAAATAACATCATATATTAAATCAATAAGAATTTTTACTCATTTAACCATCAAAAAAAAATCAGGCGTAGAAAGCTTAGATACAAACACACACGGAGTCAAATCAGTAGCAATGCTTCTCTACATCTGCTAGCATTTTTTTCTTGAGTGTCAGTGGGACTCCTAGATTCCTCTCTACCCAGTCTTTAACTCTACCCTTGGCGAGGTGGAATGCATTATGAATCTGTAAAATAAGAAAAAAAATTAATGAGGCCCACTTTTTTCACCCTTGCACCTTGTCCACTTGGGAGCAAGTCTGCCCAGGGGCTGCATTTTTTCCTGTTGATTCTACAAAGGCAGTGTGTGTAAGGCTGCAGTGACTGGCAAGACAAGGCTTCATTAATAATTAAGGTGATATTTTTAGTCACCACCTGAAAGTATTTTATTTTTTAATGTGCTAAAGAATATGGATTAGGAAAGAATAATATTATTGTAAGACTCCTGTAAGGAATTATGAATAATTATATTTTGACTGTCTTATATCTATTTTTAAAGTTTAAACTGGTTGCTTGACATTCCATTCATCTCAAGATACTCTTATCTAGTATCAAATGCTGCTTCCAAAAAGAACTCTTAATTAAAACATTAATAGTCTCAAAAATATAAACAAACTTATATAAGTGAACTACATACAATGTATAATAACTGCAATAGAAGAAAAAATTATCACAAGGACTAAAACCTAGGTAATTAGACTACATATCATTTGAGAAATGTGCTTGAAGGTCTAAGAGAAAAACATAATACTATATTTTACTATTTGTGTAGTAGTTTTATCAATTGGTAATTTCAACGTTCATTTTGAACTTATTTTTGTAAATAAGTAAAATAAAGAAATAATTTCAGGTTAATCAATTTTAGAAAAGTGACTTGGGGACAAAGTTAAAAAGTCACTGGTTACATTACAGAGTAATACAAACATCCAATGAAAACTATAAAGGCTTTACTTTTTTTTTTTAATTCTTTCTAGTTCTTGTCACTGAGTGGACATTATAATACACTGCTTGTTAAACATAATGTTGCACACATTTCTAGAAATCTTATTTTGTTCTTTTATTCTATTCTGTACAAAAAGGATCCAGGGCTTCCTAAAGATGATCACATGTGTGAGCGCAGAAAGATGTTGAGAAATGCCTAGATTATCTATATTTTTGACAGAAATCACAGATAGTCACACAAGTGCTGAGGTGGTGTGAAGACTCAGACACAAACTTGAAAGAAGCTTTCTCCAGCCAGCTGTGACGAAGTCACAGGGAGTTAATCAAATTCAGTAAGTTAAAACAAACTGTCCATAAAAAAGCACTAAGAGTCCATAATCATATTCAAAGGAGAATCCAATTCAAATTATAGTCACATTAATTTTTTAGGATTAAGAAAAATGTTTTTATATAATTGTGTGTATATTCATTCCCAGGACAGGCAAAGTATATCCATATATAAAAGTTAACAGTTAATGCAAATAACAAAAAAAGACTCTTTTCTCCCCCCAAATATTAATGGATGGCAAATGAGACTTTGTGACTATCAAGGCTTCCTTGAAATAACCAGCTTAAAGGCATTCCTACATTAAGTAATACTCTACTAAATCATTACAGAAAGTTAATAGTTTGTGCAACACTTTTCATCACAGATATGAAATGTCCTCTCAAAAAATAAAGAGGGTCATACCACAGTTTTAGGTCCATGAACAGTAACAGAAACCCATTAATTCCAGACTAAGTTGATTATTATCTTTGAATTGATTTGGATACTGCAGATTTTGTTTGTGGGCTAGTGATTGTAATAGTTGCTCTTGGTTGCTACTTTAACTGTTAACTGTTCTCCTTGTTGTTTAAGTCAGTTAAAAAAACTGGAAAAATACAAGAACATAAGATAAAAATTCACCCACTGCTTTTTAACTTTTATTAGGATGCCAAGGTAAGGGATCTTGTAACTTGTCTTGTCAGTCCTATTTCCTCTGACCTATCTCATCATGGAGAAACAATGCATTGATGGTACTCATTCTGCAGAATGGAAAATGATTTGGTGTGTTCAGGCTGCTGGACCTGTAGCTACAAGCTTACAGACATTTGGAGGTTATGGTGGTTTGGATCTTAAATGTCCCCCTAAATATGCTGAAGTCTTATTCCTCAGCTTATGGTGCTATCAGAACGTGGGAAACTTTAGGAAGTGTGGGTCTAGCTGAACAAGGTTGAGGTGTGCCTCTGAAGGGCATATCTGGACCATAGACTCTTTTCTCTCAATCTCTTTTTTTGCTTCCTGGCCACCATTAGGTGAGCAACTTTTTTCTATCTTATGTTCCTGCCATGATGTTCTGCCTCACCAGAGGTCCAAAGTTATAGGACCAAGCAACTATAGACTGAAATCAAGAGTCAAAATAAATCTTTCCTTCTTTTAAGTTGATTATCTCACATTTTGTCATAGTGATGAACAGCAGACTTAAACAGAGACATAAGAAAATATAAAGTACAAATTTTAGTATTCTAATTTTGCAGATAATGCACACTTATATGGAACTGTTATGTTAAATCGTTGGTTCTGTAGTTAGTAAAACTGCTAAGGAAATACAGAAATATGTCACAAAATACTCAAAATGCAAGTGGAAATTTATATGCTTATAAAAATTACATTTAGCAAAGAATTGGAGAAAAACATCGATATTAAAAGAAGGGGCATTAAYGGAACTTATACAAATTTAAGTTTAAATCAGTAGTGGTTACATAACAAAAGGGGAAAATGTAGAATTGTGTATTCCAAGTCTCACACTAGCTAAAGGGACACTAAACTATAGCTAAAAGGAGCCTGAGCCTATGTACCAGAGAGAAGGAAGAGAGGAGGAAGAGAGGAGGAGGAAGAGAGGAGGAGGAAGAGAGGAGGAGGAAGAGAGGAGGAGGAAGAGAGGAGGAGGAAGAGAGGAGGAGGAGGAGGAGGAGGAGGAGCAGCAGCAAAACACAGGAAAAGTCATTCTCTTGCCATTTGACTCTACCGCAGGAAAATGTTACTGCAGTTCTCATGCTTACAATTTATCTAAATTAAAAGAACATACAAAACAATTCTACAATTGTTTTTATAACTTACTTTAAACAAGGTACATTATCACGAAGTCCATCAGATGAACTGCTGCTGGTAGATGGATGAGACTGTGGAGGAATGGGCTGAGGATTGGAACCTCCTACAGGGGTTGACAAAGGTGGTGGCTGCTCACCTTCTGGAGATTCCGCATCATTTATCTCATAAAACAACCGAACTTCAAGCATCTGTTGTAAAAGAAAGGCAGTTTACCTACTCTTAATAACTGATATTCATTTTATTACAATTTGCACAACCACACCTAAAATTGAGTGGAAAGAATATTTTTAAAGGCAGAAGTTTAGCAGGATGTCCAAAGATAAAGGAAAAGATTTATGATTCAKTTTTTTTTAAATGTGTATATGTGGGGAGCACACACAAAAACACATGTTATGATTTTAGAATTTATGACAACTCTGTTAATATCAAATTAGAGTACATCATATTAATAATAGCTTTCCTTAAATAAAACATAAAATATACTTAAGGATTTATGTATTCAGTTAAAAGATACTCAAAGAAAATGGTATTTTTCACAGAGATGACAATGCAAACACTGAGGTGTTTTCACAGGTTCTTTACAAGCCTGCACAGAGTCTTCTAAATCATTCACAACTTTAAAAATACTGGACACCTGACACTGAAAATAATTAATAAACTATTACCGGAATAACTTCTGTAATCACTTCCTGTTTGCTGAATCTATAAATAATGACATGAGCTGAAACTCCAGCTATGCACAGCATTCTACTTTCTGGGCACCAGGAGATGATCTGAATGGCATATGGATCTTCATCTACAATGTCTGTATTTGGTCTGTCATCTTTATTTCTTGACTTTTCAAATACTTTAGATGTTTTTAGTTTATATAATACTTGTAGAGTTACTAGAAAAAAGGTAACAGTCATTGTAACACAAAATAATCAAATATAACATTTAATTAATCATATTATGTAAGGGAAATAGCTTGTACTTGCCACCTCATACTTTTCATTTTTCAGTCTACATTATAGTAGTCTATCATACATTTAGACACTGTACATATTTGCTCACTGAATGAAAAAAGGCGTACTCATGGTATTCATTAAAAAAAAAAAAAATCCAGCTGGGGTTGTGGCTTAGTGGTAGAGCACCTGCTTAGCACATGGAGGCAATGGGTTTGATCCTTAGCACCAAATAAAAATAAATAAATTAAAGGTATTGTGTCCACTTACAACTAAATATATCAATCAATCAATTAATCCACCATCATAGGGATTTAGTTAACCTGAGAAAAATGAGTGACAAAGATATTTTGGGAGAAATGTACAAACACAAAGAAAATAACACAGAACATATATTGCTTCCTAAAATGATTTTTTTATATAGCTATATATTTTTTATAGAGAAGGTACCAGTATTATTAGGCACTCATACATAATGAAATATAAGAAACTCTGCATTAACTGGATTCCCATGAATGTTTGCTATGTATATTTTGCAAACATTAATCATTAAAGGCATTTTTTCCTTTTTTTCTACTTTGCCACCATTAGATATATTTCTCAAAGACAACACAAATTTTTTTATACTATAAATTTAGGATCAGCCATCAAACCTGCTTTAAAATTATCTGTTCATTTGGAATATATTACTATTTTTTTCTATTTCTGATTTAGTAAGAGAAGGTTTGAAGATATTTTGAAGAAAAAAACCTATCAAGAATTATTCTTGATTTACTAATATGATTAAAATGTTTACTCTTAAAAATTCTAAACTCATATACTTGATAAGTCAGTAAATTTAAGTTATAGCCTACAAATTTCAAATTAAATGTTGATTTTCAATTATTATAAAATAGTATGAACAAAAGCAATGATGGTATAACATAGCCAATAATAAACATTCAAAATACTTACTTGCAGAAGCATCCCAGAACTTAACTGACCCATCAGCATGCCTATGAAAAGCAAATGAGTCAAGAATGTGATGAAGAAAAACAAAAAGTTATATTTTTCTTCTTATTTGTAAGTTTTTATTTTAATAACATAGGCACCAAAGTGAGTAAAAGGTAAAAAATCAGGGTAAATTTATAGATTCTGGATTAAGAATTTATTTTTTTATTATGTTATAACATAAAGTAAAGCTCTACCTGCCCAATAAATTAAAATTCATGTAGTCTTAATTATATTTAGATATTATTGATTTACCTGGTGAAAACAGATTTTTACTTACCCTGTAATAATTATTTCTGGGTAACTCTGAGCACCCAAGCCCCAATTACCTCCATTGATGGGCCATTCCTATAAACAAAGATCACTGTGTAAAGTAACTTGCAAGTACACTGCATATCTTCATATATGTGTGTTTGCATACATATATACTATGTATTATGTTATATATATCTGTCTTATACAATGCATATATGAAAACACTAAACATATTTTGCTTCCAAAAATGATCTTCTAGAGAAAGGATATCAATGTTACCAAATACTRCAAGGTGATTAACTTAAAAATACTAAAATGAACATTAAATAATGAAACTCATGTTAAATACCTTTTTGCTGTAACCTTGACGTTTCTGTCTAGCTCCAACAGAATAAAGTGCGGGAATAAGGTCCACAGGACAATCAGCAAAATATTCACAACATGTAACAGGAGACTCATGTATACTCAAAGGGTAGGGATTTTCAAATATAGGATATCTTTAACAACAGGAAAAAGAAAAAAAATATTAATTTAATAAATTTTAATGTATGATTAACACAACAATGAGAATTTTTAAAAATATACATTTTAGTAGAGATTTGGTTGATTTTTATTCATTCAAATATGTAAAAATTGAGGTTTTGTATAGTTAGAAGATGCTAAAAAATAACCATAAATAGAAAAGTTACAGTTACAGCTATTTGTAATTACCATTTGTAATATGCTATATTAGGTGCTATATATATATATATATATGTCTCATTTCCTTCTTGTACAAACTTAGAATATAGACATTTTTCTGAAGAACAAAACCTGAGACACAGTAATGTGTCAAAGGCATGCCAAGTAGTTAGTATCTGAAGCAGAATTTAAATTGCAACTTAAATCATTAATCAATAAGGCTTTCGTAACAGATATCTCATCCTTACATCAGCAAAACCAATATAAATTTTCAATTCTTAATCTCTCCATCAATGTGATCCTTAGTCCAAAATTAAATCCAGAATATTATCTTCTTTCAATGACAATCTAAAACATAATTCCATCTTAAATGCTTTCTATATATGAAATTATTTTACCAAAGAAGCAAAAAAAATGCTTTTAAAAATCATGAAAGTAAAAACATATACAGACATTCCTTAGATTCAGTTACTTAAAAACATATGGAAAAAACAGAAGTTGGATAAAATATTTAAAATGTAAAAAATGATTTGTAAATACTAGGCTACTAGTCAGCCTATCCTTGACAGTAAGTTTTTAAAACAGAAATTTTCAGAAAATTCCTTTATAGACTACAAAATGAACCCTCCCCCAACAAGAAGACAAAACACAAACAAAAATGTGCAGTCAAGCAACTTTCATCTCTTTACAACACAGGTCTTTCCTTAGCTCAAGGCTCTTCTATACATTTAGTTGGTACTTTTGCTAAATAAGATGTCTCATCACAGGTTACTTGCGTAATATTTTCTTTGACTTTACTATATTCCATTAGAGATCACCTGTACAAAGTCTCAATTATTTTAAAAAGTTACCTAAGAAGGGAAAATAAAAGAAAATCATATTGATATGAAACAGCAGTTGTAAGCAGTGGGGACATAAGGTTAAGAAAATAATTCAATAAATTGGGTTCACCATGTTTACCCTGACACACTTCCTTTTTTTTTTTTTTAATAAAAATAATTTGCCTGCAGCCCTGTCTGGCTTAATTCAATAGGATATGTTACATTCCTCAGTAAAAAACCTGTTTTCTGCAGGAGGAACTCAGGCCCCAAAATACTGATCAAAAGAACACAAGTTGSCCTGAAGTGGGAGACTTTTGTGATTCACAGTCCAAATGCCAGAACTCTGGGAGAAAAGGATAATTCAATTCCCCTTAACCATAATATCCAATTAGAACTGGTCAGCATGGGCCAAAGTGAGCTCCAGTTATCCTGCAGAAATGACATCTTGCTACCAGTCAAAAGTCAAGAGGTGAACCTGGGTATGACTTTCTGGAAATTTCCCTGGAACTCCCAATAAATCCAGAGGACAGAAGGGCATGCCATCCTCCTCTTTGAGAGGACCCACTCACTCCACTTTTCCTTTTCCTATCTTTTTCATAAACTCCTGCCTGCTACTGAGTGACACATATGAAAGAATTGCCTTGGCTATTCAGCTGAGCCACAGGTCCATATTTTATAACAACATTAAAAGAAGTTATTCTAGGAATGTCATGTGGAAAAAAATGTTTTCAAATGGTCTTATTATTTCAAAAAATAAAAATGTACTTTATGATTGTTACCTTACTATTATAAGTAGCAGGAAATAAGCTGAAGTAAAATTAGAACTTCCTACAAAATCAGATAAATAATACTGTTCATCTATTTCAGGGCTTCCCAATTTCGATACTATTCACATTTTAGACTAGGTAATTCTTTATTGTGGGAAACTATTCTGTATATTGTGGATGTTTTGCAGCATCCCTGTCTTCWACCCACCATATACCAGTAGCACCTCACCTTCTAATAATAGTGCCTCCACAGACATTGCTAAATATTTCCTGGGGAGCAAATTCACCCTTGATAGAGAAACACTGAAACATTCAATGAGTAAACTCAATCAAAACCATGCTTAATGATACTTTCTTTAGAGGCAGTAGTAAATAATACAATATGCTTCCAAAATAAACAAATGACCATCTAAGATGGAAAAAAATAGAACACAGCAAATGCCAGAATRAGTCAAAAAGAAACTGTGATGGAAGACTTAAAGATCAGATATGATATATCTAGTAAGGAGAGGATAGAAAAATATTTAAAAAGAAAGGCGGCTGATTTTGAAAGTTCATTGGAACAGGAGGAGCAGTCCRTTACAGGGAATTACATAAGAGAAGATGTGAAGTATGATATATATCTAACACAGAGCTCAGTTTTCCCCAGAAATAAGGCAACTGTGTTGAGGATAGTAAGAGAACAGGCTGGAAAGGATCTGACAATGTTATGTCCCACAATTGCAACAGAGAGAAACAGAGATGGGAGATTAAAAGAGATTATTTATCTATATATAAATTGTGATTGAATCAATTTTGGGCAAGTTAATTTTGTGTTACTTCAGGTTGAAGAAGTGAAACATATGAAATGTAAGAAATCCAATAAACTTTGAATTAAAAAATGAAAATTCTATGAGATTAAATATAATAGAGAAATTTGGCAGGGCAATTAGAAAGGTGAGTCTGGACCTTTATACAGATCAACGTTATAGAGAGAAATGTAGAGTTTTTGAAGAAATAAAATAGCTAATCCTACGCTAAAAGCAACCTTTTGTTGACCACACACTGATGGAAATGCTCACACAATTGTCTTACCCGTTTTGTGCAAGGTCTATAAGTACTAAATCCTTTTCTAGAAGAACAACAACAGCATACGGTTCTTGAAAATCTGGAATAGGAAAACAATGTATGAACAATAGTTTTAAATATACAAGAGGACAGCAAATTAGATAATAAACATTTACTTATTTTTTGTGTTTTATATTGTTTCTTACTTTTTAATATTCTGATTATATGACATTGCATGTAATTTAAAGCTTATATTTTATATTTTAGATGAGATAAATCTATTTAATAATCCATTCAAAATTCTTTCACTTTTGTGAGTTGAGAGTATAGACCAATGGTAGTCCCCTTGTCTAGCATGTGCCAGGCACTGGGCTCAATCCCAGCACCACCAAAAACACCTAAGACACTTSAAAATTCTTTCACCCTTTTAAAATGAATAAGACAAGAAGCTCACAGCAACTTCCAGGGATGGACAATAAAACCAAAATTTAAATATGAATACCCACAAGAACAATTCTATTTATCTCCTATTGGTTCTACTTCTCTGCAGAACTCTGACTAATTCAACACACTAATATTCTACAGAATTTTAAAATGCTTCTTAATATGGATAGTGTAACTTTCAAAGGCCCTTACTAATGTATAATACTGAGCTGATAAGGTTTGTTAAAACAAACTGCTGAAATAAAACTTGCAAGGTAATGAAGGCAGCATCTCTTTCTCAGAAAAAAATTAAGCAAAATAGGATAAGGAAACTACTTAACAACACAGAAGCCTTTGTTTTCAGTATTAATATTCATGGGTAATGAGTTTTAATGATGCAAAGTTTACCATTTGGATATGGTGTTTCACAGAGTGTCAGGAAGTCAACAATTGGATAGTCCATCTCCAGCACAGCAGTACTTTTCCCATGCATTACTGTTAAGCAAGGTCTTCTTCCTACAGTATCATATGATAAACCTCCTGATAAAATAATAAAAGGCTCCCTGGAAATAAAATAATAGTTAGAATTACAAATAGCATGGTGGGGACTATTTTCTTGCTGCATCATAAATTTTATTTAGTGAAATATCAAAATCTGAAATTCTAAAACTTATTTGTCATAAAACTGAATAGTCATGTGGTGTTTTTAATTAGACTAGGTTTAAGACCCAGGTAAATTCCTGAAAATTAAACTACAATAAAAATTGAATACTGACCACATTTGACTCTTGTAACCTCCTCTGGGTGACTAAAATATATATTTTTAAATCCCCTATACAAAACTGTCATAAAATTTCCTCTGGGTTTCAGGCAAATCTTTTGAGTATAACACTTTTATTTCTAGCCCTAACAAAGTCTACTTAACAAGAGAATCTTACTGCCTTGACAACAAATCTACTTTTCAAAGATGTATCAAATCACTAGCTACAAAACACCCTTGAGAACTGAGAAGAGTCACTCAATTTCCTGTAGGTCTTAATTTTCTTCTGGAACCTTGGCAGATATACTTTCAAACCTTAGCCTCCATTACTCATCCTATCAATTGTCAGTTTGCTATGTCTAATTAGCCTTACAAATCTATAATTTTCCTTTTCCGTCTCTCTCACTACTAAAACTAAATGACCTTTTCTGGGGGGTGGGGGTGTTACCAGGGATTGAACCAGGGACACTTAACCACTGAGCCACATTTCCGGGTCTTTTTATTTTTGAGATGAGGTCTCTCTAAGTTGCTTAGGTCCTTGTTAAACTGCTAAGGTTGGCTTTGAATTTGCAATCCTCCTGCCTCAGCCTCCTAAATCTTTGGGATTACAGGTGTGCACCACGGCATCCAGCCTATGGATGATTTTCTTAAATCTGTTTATAACTTCTTAAATTGCTCATGCTCACACTAAGGCCAGTAAGTTAATCTTCCTCCTAGCCTATTTTTCATATTATTCTTTTCTTTCCCATTCACTAAATCTTTAAAGTCCTTACATTAAAAAAAAAAAAAAAAACAGTGTATAATAATGGTGGGCTAAGGCTGTAGCTCAGGGTAGAGCGCCTATCTCGCACATGTGAGGCACTGGGTTCAATCCTCACCACCATATGGGGAAAAAAAGATATTAAAACCGGGGAAAAAAAGTATATAATAATGTTAAGGTGCTGGAACTAGAAACCATCTTAATTTAAATCTCATCTCTAGCTACTTTCTATGTAATCTTGGACAGCTTGTTAAGTTCTTTGTATCTAGTGTTCACACCTATAAAATGGAGACAGAGATAAGTAACTTCAGGTGATTCTTAAACTGAACAGTGCTTGGCYCACACTAACCCTTGTAAGAGTTATCTTTATTATTGTCAATATCACAGTCATCCACTGTGAAAATTTTCCTTCATGGTGTGTAGGGGAAAAAAATAAAAAATTTTAAATCATGTTTATTTTTATCTAAAATAAGAATAAACTTCAGTAAAATCAATTCACAGTTATACAGATGTGTATTTTATAAGCAAGTATAAATATTAAGATGAAGAACTGAAATGATTTTTATAGTTAGCAATTTAATCTTTTTAAAAATATAAAACATAATTTTTATGATATCACAGTTTTTTAAGCAACTCTGTCATTCTACACTGTCATCCTACATTCCATCCTAGCTTTTCTTCTTTTTTTTTTTTTTAATTAGCTACACTGACCATACAATGATCTTGACAATTCAAACATTTGGCTTTATTTCTTCCACAATATTTATCACTAAGAACTAATTTATCTATTTAGCTTAGTGTTTTTCTCACCAAAATGTGTCCTCCACGAGGCAAGGGGTTTCTATGTATTTTGTTCATTACTGTATCCAAAACAGTGCCTGCTACATACTAGGTACTAATTATTTTCTCAAACGAATGAACAGAAATGTGTGTTGCACTAATCATTCTTTAGTGTATTAACATTTAGATATTTCAACCCTAAATTAATTTTGGTATTCTTATTTTGTCAGCTAAATTGAAGTAACATTACATTTCATTCTCAATAAAACCAAATTTATATATTTAGTGTTTCAACCTCTCAGCATACTGCAATTATAAAGACTATAATTAGGAATGTATATGTAATTTCATTCCACTTTTTTTTTTTTTTACATACAATGAACAAAAAGAATGTAGTTTTTCTATACCTTCAAATAGCAATATACAACAACATAAAAATACCATGAAAAAGGTGAGGAGTTCAACAGGGAACTAATGTTTGTTAAACTTTTACAGATTGGGATGCCTGGGTCAGGTATTTTCTGTGAAATATAAAAACACAATTATCCATTTAAAAATTTTATTTCACCAATGAAAAACAATCCAGTATTATTATTACCAGAACTATGAACATAGGGATATCAGCTGAATTATATAAAATGTCCAAAAAGCACTCATGGAGATCAAACTGGGTTAAGTGACCACTTTATACATTCTTAAATAGTGCTATGGCAATTAGTTAGGTTTATCCTCAGAAGGTGAACTATTTTTTTCCCGATGGTTCTGCAAGCTGCCTATATTTTTTTTTCTAAATGTAGATGAATAAAAGATATAGACTAAGGATGTCAACTGACGTGTTACCAAGGTAATTTTCTTTTGAATAAATTTGCCAAACCCAGCAATAAATACCCTGTTTTTACTATTTTTAAACTTTTCCTAAGTGCTGTTTCTTTAAAATTGTATGTCTGATTGAAGAAATAGCCACCTAATATACAAAACCCATACATCATTTTTTTTTCATTATAATGACCCAAACTTGAAGAGTAAACTTGGAGAATATTTGATGTTCTTTTTTAAAATAAAAAGGAAAGCCTTTTTAAAAAAAAAAAATTTGTTGTTTTTAGATATACATGACAGTAGGATGTATTAAAAAGGTAAGCCTTTTGAGGTTATAAGAAGGTATAGATGTAATGTAATTTTTATTCTATTACTTTAAATGTAGAATCCTTTTTCATAATATTGGATGTTAACTAAGACTCTTACTTTGGAAGACATCTAGGTTGGAAAGATGTCACTTTGAAAGTTTCGTAATTCCAGCTGTTTTTTTAAAGAGGCTAGGCATTTCATGGAATATAAATGCTTTTAGCTTCTGGTTAACCTCGGTCTGGCCTTGAGAATCATTTTAGTTCAAGCTGGGTTTCTCTATGAGTGTTGCTTGCCTAAAGAAACCATCTCTATCCAAAAAATCATTCATAAGTAATATACCTAATCCAATTCCATAATAGTGTTTATGCGTTCACTCAATATTTCTTGAGTGCCTGTGTTTCTGGGAATAAACAAGTGCTCTCATGTCTAGTCCAGGCAGACATCAGCATACTGTGATAAGTATTTCAAAGAAAATAAAACAAGGACAGTGATAGGCTGAATGCAAGGGTAGARCCAGAGAAATTAGAGTAAAACCATGAGATCAGAAGAGGCCCTTTAAGTAAYGACTGGTGAGCTAGTGACAAATGAACAGAAGGCAGCCAAAGAGCTTGGGTTGGGAGGGAGAAGAAGGTACAAAGCAAAAAGAGGGGCTGCTGCAAAGATCTCAAGTCAGGAACAAGCAGGGTGTACCTGAGGTACTAAGACTAGTATGACTGCAGCAGTGAGCAAGGCACACATGGGTAATGAATGATGGACTCCAGATCTTATAAATACATTCCATTTACTCTATCAATTAGGATCTCCAGAGTTGATCTCCTCCTTCCCATCTCCACAATGACCTTAGTTCTGGCCTTTATATAGCATTTGGATAAAATGTTCAATTAGCATTTTCCTTGTTATATTCGACTAATCCCTATTCCTCCTTAAAAATCAGTTTAATCAATATTTCCTCACCAAACCCTAACCTAATCAACCCACACTGAGGAGGGAGTCCACTCCTCCATGTTTCTAAGCACCTTCCACCAAACTCTTCTCTGTATTTACCCAATGAATTGCCATTGTTTTATCTACTTTCCTTTTGTAGATTTTACCTTTGTAGCTCTGGCTAGGTGACAAAATAGTAGAATGTTTGTCAAACAGACATCTGAAATACCACTAATCCTATAGCTGAGCTGGTCATAGACTTAGTGAACTAGAAATACTGCAACCTGGGGCCCAGAATCTCAGGTGATTCCAACATAGTGCTAGATTTGAGAAATACTGACCAAGGTAGTTTGAAATGTAACTACAACTGTATTCTGATACGCTCTCTGTATAATCACTATCCCTACATGTATTATTCACTATCTCTACATATATTAAGTTAGAGATTAAGCTCTAAGTTGTTAATATCATATGTCATTGTCTACATCACTCATTGTTTACATTACTACTCTTACAAATCTTCAACAATTTCTTTCAAATGGAAAGATACAATTCTCTTTCAGAGAAATATTAAATGTTGAATGAGTGCAATTTTATGAACCTTAGCTCTTGTAAGCTAACTGGTAACTAATACCTAAACTTTACCACTCTAATTCCAGTGCTTATCACAATACCCAAAGACACACATATTTATTAAATGAGTAACCACTTCATTTTTTAAAGTTCTATATCAAATTTTTAAGAGTCTCATTACTTCAAATTTCTAATGAAAATTATCAACATTTAATTTGAATGTTCTAATGGAGATCCATGCCCTTGTATTTATTGTCTATTTTTTCACAAAAACTAAAAATTTAGATTAAGCTAATCATATGCCAATTGTAGTAGACTCATGTACAGACATGATGCTATGGTTTAGTTAACTGGCTCCAAAGAGGTTGAAAGGCTTGGTTTCCAGGCTGTGGCATTATAGGGAGATGGTAGAGTTTTTAAGAGGTGGGGCCTACTGGGAAGAAATGAGGCCACAGGGGGCTTGCCTTTAAAGGGAATACTTGAACTTGGTATCTGTCTCTCTCTCTCTCTCTGCTTCCAGGCTGCTATTGGGTGAGCAGTTTCCTCTGCCATACACTCCCACCATGATGTGCTATTTTACCACAGGCCCAACATGCCAATTGACCAGACTGAAACCTCCAAAAACATGAACCAATAACTCA